TTTAAAAAAAAAAGCCCTAGCTCACTTGTCAAATCTTTATACTTTAACAGAGGAGCTCAGTCAGAAACGAACACGTTAGTAGAAAAGACTGCATAAAAAGAAAATCACAGAGTGGAAATATGGAGAAAAAATTCAACAGATTCCTATTCAGGGCACATCCCGAGCGAGGGCCTGTACTTGTCTTTCAGGGATCGTCAGTAATGTATACGTTAAGGAGAAAAAAAAGAACAGAGACCACGGCATCACATCTTGTCAAGACAAACCGAACAGCCTTTACCTCCGTCCCCCTAAACACAAACAGCATCATTTTGGAGCGTGACTGCTTTCAAAATGCCTCCCTCGGCAAACCCAGAAAACTTCCAAGAGAGAGATATTAGAAGGAATACTTCACTCAAATTAGACATCCCGTTTATACTGTTTGCGTGCAGGGCAGAAAGCCTAACCATGTCAAAAGTTGTCTTTCTTTATGGCTGATGTTTGTCCTGTCATTCTTTTCTTATCTTAGTTGGGGTGGGGGGGGGGGGGTGTTGTTGTTCAACAAGAACTTTAACAGCTAGGCTATAAATTACAAGAGAAGTCTAAGCAAATCTCTATCTTTAACTAACGAAGTGGTAGCTACAGAAACAGATGAAGTGCATGATCATATGGCATGTTATGTTCCTATCGTGGTTGCTGGGTAGCAGCTGCTGCCAAGGCTTCCGCTGAAAAAAAGAACAAAACAAAACGAAACATCAACAACCCTCCCCCACCCCACACACAATAATAACATACTTGCATCATCGTGAAGTACGGGCACGAAAACGATTTCTCTTCACAGGAAGAATTTTTGACTATTCGAACTTGAAGAACGTGGTTAATTTTCATGTTTGTTTGCTTATTTGTTTGTTGTTTGGTGGCTTGGGGGTGAGGGGGTGGGGGTGGGGATGGGGGTGGGGGTGGATGGGTAGGAAGTGGAAGGGAACAAGTAGGGAGGGGAAGGGGGTCAGCATTGTTTAACTAGTGTCTAAAGCACTCCACCTATCTAAAGGTTGTGTGTTGATTTTTTTCACTATTTTCAATCTCCAATAAAGGCCCCAGGGAGCCAGAACGTTGAAGTACCGCATTTTTACACCAGCGAAAAAACTAATTTAAAATGTGTAGGCATTAACAAAACATACACCTCTTGTTGGTAGGCAAATGTACTACATTAACAGCATCATACCAGGGGGTCAGTATAAGCAGCCACGGTGCCACCTGACAATCGCGTATGTATGTATTCATAACCTGGCTTACAGAACAGGTTCACCTGTGGCTCCGTCAGTCTCTATAGTCTCGCTCCATTCAGGGCTTAAGTAATTCACGAACATGAGCAAAATGACCCTACAGAAGAGGAAGCATGCCAGGCAAAACAGTGGACAGGTCGCGTATACAGCCACCCGCACTGCGGTAGCCAGAAAGTTAGCTGCTGGACGAGGCGGCGTGGCGCATATCTCATTTGCCCATTGCTGTGGTACTAAAACGATTAATAGTTGTCAACACACGAATGGGCATCAATAATTTATAGCGGCATCAGCAATGGAATCACACCACCCCATAGGTCGGCGTCTTTGTACACCTTTATAAAAGAATGAGTTTTTTGTCAACAGCTAAACAGTATATATATTGCTTAAATGTATTGTCTTTCAATCTGTCCGCATTTAGATCGACGTTGTAAAACATTGATTCTTGTCTGCATACTCAAGAGAATGAGATGCAAAAAATAATTAATGCATGCCTTGTAAGTCTTTTAGCATGTTGCTATTACCCATAAGGTGATATAACATTACCTATTTGGTAGCCAAAATGTTATTGGTGTGTTATAACCTAGTTTCAGTTCGCTATCTTCTTTTAGTCTTTCTGCACGCCGGCGTAAAAACAAAGACACAGCCGCCTATATATCATCTATGAGTTTGATTTGAAACGTAGATTCGCACACAACACAAATCTAATTTCATCTTCGAAAATAGTTGACTGGTCTATAGATCAAAATATGGGACTTAAATAGTGGCTTTATGCAAGTACATCCCTTCGTAAATTTCAGAAATAGGAATACAGGAAACGTGACAAAACCAGGGTGCATGTTCGTTAAAAGAAGAAATTCTGCTGTGGGCACCTATTTGAACACTGTCCTCTGTTAGTTGTCCCAATGTGGCTTTGAGGAAACTGGCCTGGATGGCTTCACTTGGGGTTTTAATCTCGTGAGTACTAGATCTATGTCATTGACTCGCCCTTGAACGTTTGCTCACCGGTCCCCAGCCTCGTTCACATCCCGGCGCTGCACTGTGCAGATACCCACGGGCCAGGACACTTGGTGTTGACAGTGTATTAAGACTGCTGCTGTTGATTTATTTGATTAATGTTGAAACAGGAGAGAATGAGGCATATGAATTATATCCAACTGTGTGGGTGGTAACATGCCCTGGGGTGATACTATTAATAATTAGAGAGCTCCAACGCACTCAGTAAAATTACTTCTTGCCTCGTATCTTAGTATTCGTACGCCACCTTCGAAGATCGCAGTTTCATATCTGTGGTTATTGACGAGGCCATTGGCCAGGGTTATGACTCTTGGTAATGCAAGGAATCAGGTTGTTTGGCTTTTTTAAAGAGTGGGTGGTAATAACAAGAAAAGATTTCACTTAACTCTGTGTGATTTGAGAGTATCTGAAAGGTCATTTGCTTGGAAACCGATATCTTCTCAATCATGTTCGTGTTATGTGGTCTAATCGTTTTCTTGCATTTCTAAAATAGAGGTTCTTTATCTAGAAATGGTCTTTAGGTGTACTTTTAATACGTAAGAAATGGCGGGTGCTTGAAATAATATCAAGCGTGTTCTTTCTTTTTACATTTTTCTTTTCGATAAAATATTGCCACCACCATAAACGTTTTATTTTGGAAAAGGGGAATGAACTGCTGTATAGAAGAGCCTTTGAGGCAGTTTAGTTTCCCTGTTTGTTTTATGAAAGGAGGGCTCTCGTGGCCTAGAGGTTTAAGGTGTCGACCTCTCAATCAAAGGTCCCGGGTTTGAATCCGGGTAGCGACCGAAAAATTTTCTTCTCTAAAATTGTCCCCTTTCACCTCCTTCCCTTCTCTCTAACAATGTTCTGTCGTCTGCTTTCCTCTCCTCTTTCTGTCCCCCACCCCTCACCTCCTCTGGGCTCCTGACTCTTTCTGCAGCCTTTCTACTGCTACTCTTTGGCCCCTTCTTATTGCTGTCTTTCAGCCGCACCCCTGATCTTCTGGTTGGAAAGATCTACACCTAGCCTTCTCGGACAAGGTCGAAAAATGTCGGAGGGCCCGTACGCAAGTTGCGCACGTTAAAGATCTCTTGGTGGTCTAAAATCGATAAGAGTAGGCTTCGGCCGCCACCAGGGCAAAATTCAAAATTTCCTACCAACTGAAAATGTTAGGTGTGTCCCACGCGCTCATGTGACCCTATGCGGTTGCGAGCGCCGTAAAACACTTACCAAAAAAAAAAAAGAAAAAAAGAAAAAAAGAGCATCAACACAGAGGAAGAAGGGAGAGTACTGGAAGTGTATAAGATGAAAGGGCAGCTACTAAACCATGTCAGATCTATATGCTCTAACAACACAAGACGTACATAAATTGACATGTATGTGCATCACAAGAAAAAACAACAACTTTGCATCTACTGTTGCTGTTGATTTATTTGAACTTGCTGCATCACTGCATCATACGCGTACATCATGCAGTATTGCATTTAATGCAATGGAGTGTGGGTTAACAATAAAAAATCAATATGTTAAATACTAAATTAGTACTACGCATTTGTATAGGAATATCGACCACTGACACGATTACACGCAGTACTGCGGCAGCCCGAATCTTTTTTGTTGGCTAAAATCTAAATTGAGCTCCTATAATATTCTCGCACGCCTACAATTTATTACAGTTATTATGAGTGGGAGCCTCATGTGTATTGTTCCACTCCTACCTGACTGATCATATCGATGTTCCCACTGTCCTGGTCATCCTCCCTCACATTCGTTCTCTATCTTTCATTTCACACTCTGCCTCACCCCCGATGCACACTGTTTGTATTTTGTCGCTCCCTTTCACTTTCAGTCTTTGTCTATGCGTCTGTCTGTTTGGCTGTCTTCTGTCTGTCTA